CACTTGGAAATTCTACTTGGAGCTTTGTATTGGCTAACCACCCCTGCCCATCAGTATCTTTTAAGTGAAGATGGAAATATACTTTGTCATCTGTCCATCCAGCTGCAGCCTTTACTCCATCAACAAGTTGCTATTAGTTGAATATTCTATGTGCAGCAATTTTTCTTGGATGTGTGGTGAAGAGAGAGAGAAAGGCTGAAATGGAGAAAGTAGCAGGAAGGCAGACAGGGGAAGAAGCCTTAGAGATGTAGTTCTCCTTTCATATAAGTTCATATTTTAAGAGATGAAAAAGGCCAATTCTTTCAACAAGGAAAACTTAACATAGGTTCCCTCCTCCTCATATTTTGAGCCAAATTCCAAGCAGTCAAAGATCACAGATTCTCCTAACTCCCATCAATCTAGCCACAGTAAGATAATGCAGTGTTGGTCCAGATGATGTAATGAGTTATCTACAAAAATCACTATGTTATTCTTCCTAAATTTAGTGACACTGAAAAGCCGCCATCACCAAGAATACATTTGAAAGTTTTACCCAGTAATTATGATGTTTCTTCATGGATTAAATCATTCACTGTTAACTATCCCAATGACCATCAGTGAAGAAAAATTTTAATATACCAGAGTTTTCTTTTCTGGATTTGGAACTTTGTGAAATTTAGCTTTGCTGACTACCTGAACTATTCTCAGTTTATAGAGACAAAAATAAAAATAAATAAATAAATAAATAAAACACATGGATGTACAAATTTTCTCTGTGATGACATAAAGCATAGAGATGACATTACACAAAATTGTATATTCATTTCCACTATTTGCTTATGAACACCAACATCAGTTTTGGGGAACATTTTTCAAGTATAAATAAAAGTAAAAATGGAAGCATCCATAGCATACCATTACTATAAAAAAATTGTACTGTACAAGCAAACATTTTATGATGAAATTTAGGCAAATATATTAAAAAATTTTAGGAAGGCCATTTATAGTACAATTTTTCCAAGCTTCAACCTGAAGGTGAGAAACAGTGAACAGAAGACTGGTTAGCTTCCACATCATAATTATAAGACCATTGAGATGGTCCCTGAAAAAGCCAGACTTTTTATTTTATTTCATTATCCTTTTTCACTAATACTAAAACTGATTTCTCCCTTATTACTTTCCTAAAATAAAATAAGGGGAGGGATGATTTTTATTTAATGAAAGGCAGATACAGGACGAAGTCAGGAGACATAGATTCTAATTTTTTCTATTAAATATTTAAGAATGTTGGGCAAGTCTTTAGTAAAATGATGAATATGGAATGTTCTCAATATTCAATAATCAGTATCTAAATTCTGAGATGCTTCTATTAAGAATGTCAAGCATTCCAGTTGTAGCTAAATGATTAAGTTATTTCATGCAATCATATATGAAATCACAGACTTTAAATGTTTTATCAAAATTGATTTATGAGCATATAACTTTGATAGCACTGTTGTAAAACTTTGGTTGAATTCATTGGATTAGTTTTGAAATGTTCATTTTGCATACTTGTTCTTTGAGAATGCATTTTGCTAAATATTCCTTTGCAGAATGAAGATAGAAATATGACTTTTATGTAATGATTTGATACTTACCATTGAAATTTGGGGGCTATTTTGAATTCATAAAATTTATATTTCATAATAAAAACTCTTTCAATTTTAAAAAAAATTGTTAATAAGAGGCTCTTGTGACTTTTTAAATAAAAATGCAAATATCCATAAGATTATATAATACAGCCACCAACATCAATAAAGTGATATGAACAATATACATTAATCTATGAAAATATTTTATATGGTTATCCTTTGACTAAATCAGCTTGCCCTCATAAAACACTAAATTACTTAGCTGTTTATCTATACCATAAAAATAGGTGTGAGCATGTGTGCTGTCCTTCTTTCAAAGTTGTTTTAAATTTTTCCAGAATTTTATTTATTTCATTAGAAAATTAGATTATAGGAAATACCATACCTGTGATCCTCAGTAAATTGTACTGAATAAAATCAATGAGTGACTTCATAAGAAAAAAGTCACATTTTTATTGTAATTAATGAGGCATTTCTTAAAATTCAAGTTGAAAACAGCTGTTATTTCAAGTATCAAAATAATAGAACTCACATTTAGTTACCTTCATTGATTAAAAAATTTAAGCAAGTATTCATAAGTTTTATTCTTCCCCTGTTTGCTTTCCTGCTACTTTCTGTATTTCAGCCTTTTCTCTCTCTCTTCACCACACATCCAAGAAAAATTACTGCACACAGAATATTCAACTAATAGCAACTTGTTGATGGAGTAAATTATTTCATTTGCACAATTTTTAATTTATTTTTACCAAAGCAAACATTTAATTTAGATCTACGGGGGGGGGGCAAATAATTATGAGCATTAAAAATATAGCTTAATGATGCTCAAAGATATGCCATTGGTACTGGTATACTAATCTCCTTTTGTGTTTTGCATAGCAGTATTAGTGAGAATGACATTAAATTAAGAAAGATCTTGAATTCCAACTCAACAAAGATTTTTTTAAATTTTTTTTTTAGTTATAAATGGGCAGAATGCCTTTATTTGTTTATTTTTATGTGGTGCTAAGGATCAAACCCAGTGCCTTACACATGCTAGGTAAGTGTTCTGCCACTGAGCTAAAGCCCTCAGCAAGTACTCTTAACAGAAATTCCTGCTATAATTTATGGTTTGTTAATTTCACATATAATACTAAGACTACTTTAACATTTTGACATTAATTAGAATTATGTTAGAATACACTGCCTTAAAATTATCATTATCACAATTAAGAGTAATAACAGATCTGTCAGTATTACTACTTGCTTTCCCTTTTGTTTTGTTGGGACATTCCTTTTGCAATATGGACTCATTACTGTTGGACATAATGTGCATAGTAATCACTCCACTGTTACCTGAAGGGTTAATGTATTTAGAGAATAAACTAAATGATCTTTGGTTTCAGCTCCTAATTTAACCTACTATCCACATAGCATGGCTGCATATGAGAATTTGCAGTATTTTTGCAAGTTGAATATATAGTTTTGAATGTTCCTTTTATTCAAACATGAAATGAAGTCTGCCAAAATTTCCAAACTTAAAAAACTGATAATAAAGCCATTGTATGTAGCCCCTCCTGACTTCCAATGCAGCTGTCCATACTTAAAACCCCCACTCATCACTGCACTCTGTCTATAACTATACAAGAAAAGAGAAATAAAACCTCCAATAGAGTTGGAGTTCAAACAAAACAAAAATAAAATTCTGACATTGGAGAAGATGAGATTTTAAGGCATTCCTCACTAAACAAATTCTCAAGGTAATTGCTCAACTTTCCCTTCTTATTTCTGGTATAGGCAGGGACTTGTTCCTTTAAGGTTAAAAAGCATATGTCTTCTCTCTCCACCAACTACAAGAGCCAGAATGACAATTTAATTCTTATTCCACTGAAATTGTGTATAGTAATGCCAAGAAATTACACTCACATATCACAAATTTAAACAGGGCACCATTCAAAGTTTCTAATGTTTATTTCTGAATACTCTTATCTGTATTCTTGGAAGGGAAGACCTATGTCCAAAGGTTCAAAGAGTAAAATGTAATGTGGAAATTAATACATTTCATAACTTAGAGAAAGGTGGCTTATGAAGTAGTTTGTTTTCAAGATTTAAATGCATGAGGAATCTGGAATACAAATTTTAGAATTGAAATTATCTCCTTTCTTGCTCACTCATTCCCTCAATCCCTTTGGACATATTCATTCATTAAACTACTGCCTATTTTCTCCCAACTAGAAATACTAAAACAGTAAACATGTTCTCATAAGAAAGGGCTACTTCCCTAAGAAAACTTCCGTGGAAATATTGTCTGGATAAGATGCTACACAACACACACACAAAGCACACAGATACTGCAGGAGCCCCTTGGTACAATGTTTTCTAATCCTGCTATATCCCCCTCTTAGCCACTAAACCTAAAGAAAAATAGGGGCTTTGGCTTATTGCTATTTCAAAGAAGATTTTAAAGGGTAAGTTTGATGCCACCCACTTCCCCTTCAAGAAAAAAGCTTCTTATCCTCTAGAGTTGCTGAGCTTTTAATAGTATTGTTGCTGAAGGCCATTCACCACCCAGTCAGGTGCTCTGTTCCCAGTATGAAAAGACCCCTTCTGGAGGAATAGTTAAAATAAGATTGCTCCTTATATCCAGCTGTAAATGAGTGGAACGAATCTGTGTCATGTGAATAGTTGTGCGCTATAAAACAATAATAACAAAAAGTTTAGTCCCAAAAGGTTTGTTATTCTTGTCTTTCCTTTATCATGCTTGATCATTCCCTAAACAGTCCAGGTGCTGAGAAACACAGTAACTGTACAAAAGCCAGGATCGCAGTGTGTCAGTGTCAATTTCCTGAGGACACTGTCAGAAAAGCTGGAGAGACAGCAACGCGTGGAGGGAATGAGGTCAGAATTTACTGAGAGGACCCTTTACTCTTAGAAGGAATACGGCGGGACAGTGAGGTTCTGCACCGACTGAAAGAAGGTGGGTCAGGGGCGGACTTTGAAGAGGATTTCTCAGCACCAGAAAGAGTGAGGGGTGGCACATGGGGGCGTTTGGGCGCTGGCAGAAGGGGGAATTCGAAAGGAGAAGACATGGTAACAGTGAGAGCAGCGATGACCCTGTTTGGAGTGACGCTAGGGTCGGGGCCATCCACCTTAGCGGTTAGTGTGGAAGCTGGAAGGTGAGGTGAGACCAGGAGCTGCAAGCAGCTGTCCCTGGAAGAGAAAAGGTTCTTGTTGCCGGCAGGTGGAGTTGAAACCAAACATCCCCTCAGGGACCACGGAGCAGACCCCTCTGAGACCCTCTGCCTGGAGGCTAGGGAATCACAGCAGGTGGTTTGGGTTGCCTCTCAAATCTAAAGACGTTCTGTCTACCCCAAGCCTTGACGTCTGACACCCTGAGCTCTCCTGGTTACTCACCAGTCCTGGGGGGAAAGCGCCATCCCGGGCGCACGCGAGGGTTGCGCGGCGCACGCTGCAGGCAGGGCCCAGCGGCGGTGGCGGCGCTGTCCTAGGAGCGGAACTGGAGTCGGGGGACGCCAAGGCAGAGACAGCGGGGGCGCAGGGAACCGAGGGCGGGGAGAGCCGAGGATCTGGAGCTGCTGCGCCTCGCGCGCTCTCTGCCGATCTCCGTCTCCGCTAAAGCGGCTACTGTTACTGCCGCTGAAGAGGAGGGAGGCGAGGGGGAGGGGAGGAGGCACGCGGTAGGGAGGGAGGGAAGAGACAGAGGGAGGGGGTTGAGAGAGGGGAAAGGGAGAGATGATCACTCAGAGTTGGGAGGGGACAAGGAGACGCACAAGAGCCCAGCAAAGGTTCCCACCAGATGAGCTCAGGGTGGGGAAACAGAGGATGAGGAGATGGGTCTCTTCTCGCGCCCCCACATACCCTGCATCCCCCTTTGCGCTCTTTCCTTGGGCTCTTCCTCTTATAGCTCAATCTGGGGGTTGCCCAGGCTCGTCCGCAGCTAGGGCTTCAACGCACTAGTGAGGGTGTTGAGCTCAGCAGGCTAACGCGATAGCTCTCCGCGCCGCCGGCCTGTGGCACCTGTGCGCGCACCCACTACCACCCGCTCCATTTTAGAGGCTCCCAGACCAAGAACTCAGGCTGTCACCCTCTCTCTCTCCCCTTTGCGGTCAGATCGTGATCGTGCATGTGCAACCATGACATCTGTGTAGTTCCCCATAGCTATTTGTTTTCCTGGGCGCTCTTTGGCACAGGCTGTCCGACCAGAAGGCGCCAGCAGGGAGCTCCATGCAGGCAACCTTCGCCAGCCCAGTGGAGCTGCTGCCCAGGCAGGGGTGACGGTATTTGTTTGTTGCCTGGGTTGACCAGCTAGCCCGGGGTGGGGTGGGGGGTGGGGAGGATCTTTGGACCTCATTTCCTTGAACCGTGTATTTAGCGATCTAGAAAGGTTGTAAATGTGAAGGGCAGAGATACAGTCCATTACCTCTTGTCTTGATTCTCTTCCTCCCTTTACCGAATGAATATATATAATATATATACAACAAAAACAAACAAAACCCATTGATTTAGCTCATTTAATAGAAATATTTCCCCAGCTCTTCAATGCAGAGCCTTCAATTCCGCCCCCAGAATTTTCCTTGGATTGGCCTGGCTTTCCTATTGTGGATTTTTGTTTACTCCTTTGGACTGTAACTCAATCGTGTATGTTCAAAAACTACAAAGATTCGAATGCAAATAGATACTATATTCAGTGCCCTATACGCTTTCCTGATTGAGGGAATGAATTCAAACATTCAGTAAATATAAAAAACAATCAGTATTATTGACTGATTTCCATGAACCATAATTTTGTTTCATAATATTCTGTGGTAGTTGGGGGTCAACAGAGAGCAAGTACATTATTGTGTGTAAAAGATATGACTGGGAAAAGAAGTCTAGTAAAACTCTCTTCAACACATAAAGTTTGTTATTATTCCCTGTCAGAACCAAGAAGGAAAGAATTTCTAAGTTTGTTTGGTTTCTCTTGTGTGGGGGTTGCTTTAAAAAAAAAAACAAAAAACGAAAAAGGCATCCATTTACTAAAGAGACAATGTTATAAAAGCCTAAAGGATCTTAGTCTCTAAAATAAATAATCTGAGTATTTTGTTTTACATAAGTATGTCTTATATAACAAATGTATTCATATTAAGTGCACTCTCAATTGTATATGCAGTGAGGAAAAACGTTTTTAATGTACTAAGCCATACCCTAATGTTAATGAAAACCCTCTAGATCTTCCTGTATACCACTACAAGATGGAATTTTTTAAAAAAAGTTATAACTCAGTGGTAAAGTAATATTTGATGGTCTGGTATTCCCAACTTATTAGAATCTTTCTTGTTGAGTATATCTGCTAATGAAAATATTTGGTTTCACATCTATCTAATGATCCTAATGAGACAAGTACCTCCTCATTATGAGAACAACAGATGGTTAAACTCCTCTAATGCACCTCACCTTTAAAAGGCATATGCTACTGTCTCCAGATGTCCAGAGGTGCACCATGTAAATTCACCAACTGCTATTTCAAAGACCACAGAAAGAAGATGATTGGTGGAGACCTACAGTTCATTCAGCACTCTAAGTCTTTATTTAGGTGAGTAGTAATTTTTACCAATGCCATTAATTGCCTAGGCAGGGTTTTGAATCAAGAATTAATAAACCTTAATTTTCTTATGCCTGATTAGGATATTCCGTATCTCTCTCTTAGTGAGGTAATTTGCCTTTGAGAATTTTAAATGTTTTTCTTCCCATATTTAATTATGAAATCAAAACAGCAATATACATGTAGTCTCATTTTATGGTTGTGAAATGGTAAAGCGAAGAATGCAAACTAAATTACTTTAAGTCCAAGCAATGACAAAGGGTGATATTTAAAGCACAGCAAAACAAATTTATAAATTTCTGAATATCAGTTTACCTCTCCAACCGCTTGGCCCACTGGAGACAAGAAGAGAATGATAAAAGATGAAATGACATTTGAGGTCTCCTGCTGGAGGATTTGGATTTCTATTTAGATTCTAAGGTTGGATGAAAACTTTTCTGTCACATCTACTACAGCGTTCTCTACCTTTTTGTACTCTTTTCCCCTTTTTCATATCTATTAGTGTAACACTGAATTATGCATTATAACATTAAGTCTCAGAAGAGAAAGTATGAAAAGCAAAGAGAGTGGGCCCTGTGATCTAATCTTAGAATGTACCAAGAAAAATGTACTTTCAAAAAGTGAGTTTGCTTGGAAGTGCAAAATTTATTTTCTTGGGTTACAACAATCGATTCGGGAACTGGAATTGGGCTGCAGCTGCCAAAAGAAAAAGCATGGGAAATGTAGAGGGGACTCAGTTGTGGTTAATCTCACAAAACTAAGAAAAGTACTACTCCTGAAGGTATTGTGCTATGTGCTATTCATTCTCACTTGTGAAACCTTCTTTGCAGCAACTACTGTGGAAACTGGACTAAGTAAGTCGGATGACAAAAGCCCACCTGGATATGGTTTGTAAAAAGTAATGGAGGAATACACAAAAAATGAGACATAGAAGCAATATTTGCTCTAAGCAACCTATTCCTGTAGCAGCAGCAAAGGGGAAAACTTTGAAAACCATAAAAGGCTATTTTTTTCCCCTCTCCTTTTTCCAGGAACCTAGAGGAGAAAAATTGAACTGAGTTAATTTTGAGTAATTAAAAAAAAAGAATGGATACAATGCAAATATAAAAATAATATAGGATAAGACCTCCAGAGGAGCTGAAAAACCAACCAGTTGTTGAAAAAATTATGCTATAACAGTGTTTTCATAGGGAAGTTGAAAATTTTGTCTTAATATGCTAATTTTATATAAATTTTCATAAAGGCACAAGAAATGAATTGCCTCTGTGAATGAACACCACAAGGCACAAGTGTGAGATGATGAGACAAGAGGAACCAATGACACATAGTTGGCAAATCTCAGGAGAAAAGTGAAAGAAAAATTAGAATCATCATAAACTAAAAATGAAAATGGAAGAATTACAACATAAACCGGGGACTGAGATAATCAGGGAAAGAAAGGGCAGAAATGAGAAAGGCTAGCAAAACAAAATAGAAATAATGAAAAAAATGGCTTAGAGAGAATATAAAAAAGATGGAGAAGATGTGCAAAAGTAACCCAGTGGATACACAGAGACCCTAGAGAGGAAAAAACAAATGATGGAAAAAAATATATATATCATTAAGAAAGAAACATTCTTAAAATAAGAGATGTGAAATTTCCCTTTGAAAGGAAATACTGATTAAATAATTACCAGAGAAAACCGCCACAGAATCAACAAGACCAAGGTTATTCTAGTACAGGATTTAGATATAAAAAAGAAACTTTTGAGCATGTAGGAAAACCTGTCAGTAACATAAAGGAAAATGTTGATATTGTTCTCAAGATTCCTTATTGCAACATTCAGTAGTGGAATAGAATCATCCACTATCAGTGGAGCAAAGCCTACAAGATATCAAAGAAAACAGAGTGAGATTTCTTTTTTCTTTTTGCTAAATAGTCCTCTAAGCACAATGGATATGAGCAGTTTTCTACATGAAAGAACTCAGGGAATATTATTCTTATGAACCCAACAACAGGAAATCACTGGAAATGAAATGAAAGAAATAAGTATTAAGCTTTCTAAGAGACAAATGGAAGAGACATGGATTAAAAACTGATTATTTGTGTTAAGAAATTGAATGCACTCATTTATTAATCTAAGTTTTGAGAATCTAAGAATAAAAGTAATAAAATGGAATGTAAATCTCACAGATCTGGACAATATAAAAATAAAACATCTAAAAAATCAGTATGAGAATGACAAAAGAAGATGGGATATAAAGGCAATTAAATGTTGGGAATCAAGGAAACTCACATAAAGCAACAAATAAGTATTCCAGCAATTAATCGTCCAAAGGTAGATTATAATCAAGATTATATGATGTATTGAAGGAGAAGATAGGGAAGAATAAGAAACAAATTTTTACCATTGCATATTTTAATGAACTACAGAGTCTATAAAAATAGAGAAATGCAGTTAATTTATTAAGGAATATTTTTGAAAGTACCAATAACAAAATTAAAAAAAACTTCATAAATGTTTAAAATATGCACATAGAGGAAAAGAAAATCAAACACAGAGTGAAGAAATTGTGCAAAGTTATAAGAGGAAATAACATAAAAAAATGTGTCAGAACCACAAATCAACATTTCTAATATACCAATAAATGTAAATAGTTTTCCCATTTCCTGTCAAAAAGATATTTAGATTGGATTACAAAACAAAATAGTTTTCTATGTTTTGATTTTACAGCAAGAGAATTCAGCATGATTGAAAAAAAAAAAAAAAACGGGAAAACATACCAGGCAATTAAAAACAAAGAGCAAGTTGTATTCATAACCTTAATCATAAATTTGCATAAAGTCAAAAAGATGCTGACAAACAAAAAGAAAAATATGTTATGATAATAAAAGTAAAAGTCACCTTCCTATTATGGATGAAACAATTATAAACATCTTTGTACCAGATGACATAGCACTAACATTACTAAATCATAAATTATAAATATTAAAGGAGAATGGCACCCATTATAATTGGAGTCTTAATACTTTTAATCCATGACTGTCTACATAAACAGAAAATAAATATATG